GACGTAACAGTATGTATATATATATATATATATATATATATGTGTGTGTGTGTCTGTCTGTCTGTGTGTATATCATAATTTAAGGACAATAAGGGACATTTGATCCATTTAGGCCATCCCATGTATTACACGAAACTGCAGAATAAAAATAAAACACTCAAAGCCAGCCTTTATCACCTAAATATTTATCAAACAGCCCTTAACCTCCCTTAAATTTATTGTATCCACCACATCCAAAGGCCAACCATCCTGTTAGAAAAATAAGACTATCTTAGCTGAAGATGACTCCTACCCTGCCAAAATTTATATTTGTGTCCCCTAGTTTTACTATTCTCTCCATCAAGTATGAAAGAAAGATGATGCATCAACACTATCAATTCCCTTAACAATCTTAAATACCTCAATTAGATCCCTTCTAACTCTTATTTTTTCAGGAGAAAACAAATCCAGATATCTTAACCCCTCCTCATATGAACAACCTTTCCATTCCAGGTATCATCCTAGTATATATCCTCCTCTGAACCCTTTCCAACAATTCAATGTCTTTCCTAGTGTAAGGAGCCCAAGACTAAACCAATGCTCCAAATGTGGCCTAACCAGTGACGTGTACAATGAAATTATAATCTCTTTTGACTTGTATTCAATGTTTATGTAGATACAATCTAAAATCCTATTTGGTCTGCCACTAGAACAGCACATTACTTGGATGACTTAAGAGACTGATGAACCAGAACACCAAGATCCTTTTCTTTCATAACATTGTTAAAGGTTATTCCTGTCAAACTATTTTTGTAATTCGAATTATAATATTCCATTTAATTACCTTGCATTTACTGTAACTAAAAGCCGTCTGCTATTTATTTGCCTAACTCACCAAATAAGCCAAATCATTTTGTAAAACAGCAGCATTCTCCTCATTGCCAGCAACACCCAAAACCTTAATACCCTCAGCAAATTTAAGTAATTTATTGACCATTCATTCATCTATGTCATGTAAATCAAAAATAGCAAAAGTCCTAAGACTGAGTCTTGTGCTACTCCACTTGTGACATTAATCCAGTCTGATTGAATTCCATTTATAACAACCCTCAGCTTTCTATCCAATGAGCCAACCTAACCTACACACCTAAAAAGATAATTTTTCAACAAGCCTTTTACACTGCACCTAGCCAAATGCTTTCTGAAAATCTAGATACATCAAATACAGACTCGTATCTTCATCTATATAAGCAGTAACTTTTTCAAAGAATGTCAAAAGGTAATAAGTTAAGAATTTTCCATATTGAAACCACACTGACTATCCAACAAAATTTCAAACTTTCTTAACTGACTTTGTAAAGCATCTTTTATCAGACAATCAAAAACTTTTCCCAGCACTGTGTAAGACTAATAAGCCTATAATCATGTGGAAAATTTTTATAACCTTCCTTGAAAAGAGAAGCAAATGGCTCAATTGTCCATCTTAACCTCCTAAAAAAACCATTTGAGAAATATTATCTGGACCAGAAGTTTATCATCATTTTTTAAATTTCCCAATAAAATATATAAATATATATTGCATTTACAATATCAGAATTGATATAGAGAAAAATTACTCTAATGCATAAAAAAACTTATATTTATCATCCTTTCAGCAAAGAACAGAATGTTACTTTAGAAATTTTAAATCTGAAAAAATAACAATTATTAGATTTGAAATTATTGTTACAATCACTCTTCTAAATTTTTCAGAGCATCTTTACAATGTCTGCCAGAACCTTGTTATTTACAGGAATTCATATGTGATAGAAATATACATTACTGACTTAACACGGTAAGATAAAAAGCTACACATACCTTACAAATGGAGTTATGGCTGCCAGGTTTTGTGTGGAGATTACTTTCATATGCCACTTTATCGTAATCACTGTTACGAACATTTTTGCTCAATACTATTTCTGATGGTTTATTTTCGACCTTTAATGGATAGCTTGCATCTATTGCATGTGGACTTCTTATAAAAGATACCAAAGAGTCAAAGTCAAAGCTTCTATGTCTTTCTTTGTCTGTTTTTTGTTCACCAGCTATGTTTCTTTCCAAAGTTCTGTGCATCAAGATATTTCCATTCTGGACTAAGGGAGAACTGGAGTGTTTATCACCCTTTTGAGTGTTAAAAAAAGTGCTTTTTTGCTCTTCATCAGGATATTTTCTGTTCTCCACCAGTGCTTCTATTTTTACATAATCATCTGATGTATTCATGTTTTCAGCTGGAATTCTACTACCTCTATGTTTCCTATTAAAAAGAAAAATGTAAATACAAACATAGCTTATATTTTGATTATGTAAAAAGCTTCTTGTTAATAATATATGCATATAGTTCAGCAATTTAAGAACATTCTCAAAATTCAAAAATGAAAACATTCGTAGTATCTGTATCACAATAGAGCAAGGTGAAACTTACCAAATATTTGAAAAAAAAGCAAAATGGCCCAATGATTTGCAAACATTAATTCAGTTTTGATTGATGTACTTTAGGCTTACAAAATTCAATATTGTGATTGGTTACAATTTTTTTTTCTTGCTTCACCAGGTAATTCTGTCCGTTTCAATTTGTTTTTCAGATAATTTTGCCTTTAAAGGAAATTTCCTTGATATAAATGTTCAGACTTACCACAAAGCTACTGGAAGTAATTTTTTAATATTTCTTGTTTTTTTTTTATTTTATCTCCTGTGTTGCGTCAGCGAG